GACTGACTGAGACCGAACAAGACTCGTGGTGGTTTCAGACCACACGAGGGAATAGTACACATGAGATCAACTAAATAAAGAGTCACAGGACAGTGTTTTTGTTATTTAGATGTGATGCTCTGCTAAAGGTTTTACACTCAAGTCTTGATCGTGTCAGAGATCGGACTAATTCAAAGTAAACACAAATGGCCCCTCACCATTCCTCCTACATTGTCAGACCGTCCCCACAGTCAAACTGATGTGTGTTTTAGAGGTCAGTGTGTTTTGGGTCCATGTTCAGTCTATCAGCTCATCAAAAAGCTTCATTGCTAAAGACCTCTTCCACTAAAACCAGGTTTTCGACACTGCAACGTACTGATGTCTCGCTCCAAAACAAAGATTCAGACTTGCACAGGTTCATACATAAGAGACTAGTTCTGTAAAATCTGCAGGGTGGGGCTTTATACATCGTTATTATTCTTCAGAACTGGTTTCAACCCGAACATAGGGCTGAATTCCTCCAGAACTGAAACTTGTGATAGTGTAGCATGGAGTCGTTTTACAGTGTTCGAGCAGAGTGGAAGAGCGAGGCAGGGACTTCATACATCCCTGCATTTTAGAGGAAGTAATGGTGTGGAGTTCCATGTAAGCCATTTGAAGGCATAAAGGGATTATTTTTGCGGAAAGGTCTGATACAAAAAGATGAGGTGCTTTGCCCTGATGTCACAAACATGCAGGTTTCTCATATGAGATCAGGTTTATCAGATTAAATCATGAGCTGTTCTTCAAAGTTAAAACACATTAACCCAAAATACAAACGACAGATTTGATTTAACATTTGATCGGTTTCTTACGCCGCTAATTGGCAAGTGGAAGCACGCGCTATTTAAAACAGACTCGGTGCGAAATATTACTCCCAGCGGTGTCTGTGAGCAGCCCCCAGACTGCACTGTGCTTTACAGCTGTGTCTCCATTAAAGGAGAAACCGCTCTGTTGTGTCTAATGAGAGCTTTGTCCCACGCTCAAATGTAAATGCAGCTGATATCTAAGATGCATAGTGTTTACCTTCACTGAGCTGTTCAACCGGCTTCCTCTAATGAATATTGAAGATTTGTGTGTGTGTGTGTGTGTGTGTGTGTGTGTTTAGAACCTGCAGATAGATTACGACAAGCAGACAGAGCAACTGGATAAGGAGAGAGAGAAGGTGGAGGCGGCGGAGAGACAGATTGCTGAGCTGACCAAACGACTCAGCAGTGCTGTCACACAGGTAGCACAGATACACACTCGCAGACACACACACGCATTACCGCCAACAAACACACAAACCGCTCTCACCCTCCAGTAAATCTAAGGAGTGCCACTTTGTCCAGTAATACATCTCCCCAATACTTATCGCATAACTCAGTTTTCATGTGATTTAGAGGGAGCCATTTTCGCCACCAACACTTCACCCGGCTATATTTGACAGCCCGGCGCCTGCAAATAGCCCATCAGATGTGACTGGGCGAGCTGGGGAGAAATTGTTTTTATATGTACTCCTTTCCCCAAGCTCATAACTGTCTCTTTCCAATGAGAGAACAAGAGGCAGGTAAATGGAGCGGGGTATAGCTTCCATCTGCCGCGCGCTAGTGCAACAGCATCTTCTCAGGCGCAAGTTTATTCTTGTGTACGCTCATGGTTCTCAGGGGGAGCGCGCAGACTGAAGCTAGTCAGGGATCTCGGAGTACGTCTGGACATCTCTGTTTACCAATCATAGCTTCAGTGTTGGGCTGACAGATGATGGAAGATAGCTGCTGCTTCTGCCGGCTCAGTGTTCCTTGAAGAGAAGGCCCGCAGAGTCTGCTACTGTCAGATTTGCATGAATGATTTTCAAAGGTGTCACATGTGTTCATGCAGGATTGGTGCATTTGCCCACAAGTGCATTTTCAAATGAAAACCTGGAATATGAAATGAGTAAAGCAGCCTTTCTCTCAGCATGGCATCCTTCATTTTGGAGTGATTTTATGTTTTTCTTTGGCTGTAGATTATTCTCAACACATGCTGTGGAATAAAAAGTGAAACCGTGCTAACACGTCACTAAAACTGTTTATGTAAATAAAAATATTGAAACCAGCCGTCCTGCATTGGCTCTAAATCTCTACATGATGTGAGAATAAGAGTCAAAACTGAGCTTCGTTATGATGTCGACCCTTGTTCACTTTATAAATCATCATTAGATCACATAGTCTCCATTAGAAATTCAGTTGTTCTTTAGTTATCAGCTAATACCCTCTTCACCAACTATATTTTTGTCATCAATTAAGTGATTGGAGTATTTTAAAAAGAAAATCCTTGTATTCCATCTTCTTAGATTTTAATATTTTCTGGTTTCTTTACTCCTCTGTGACAGTAAACTAAATATGTTTGACTTGTGGACTAAACAAGATTCATTAATGATTTTATGCCTTGAGAAAAACTGATCTACATTTTTTAAACAATTAATTGAGATAAAAACACAGTTAAAATAATCCTGAGTTGCAACCATGATCTCTTTATTACTGAGAATTTGGGAACTGGAGGTTCATCCAACAGCAACAGTAATCTGGAGTATTTATTCTTTCGCAGATGGAGACACTGAGCAGTGAGAAGGAGGACCTACTGGCCGGTATGGAGACCGTGAGGAGCGCAGTGAGGCAGCTGGAGACCAAGAACCAGGAGCTGCAAAGACAGTCAGCAAGTCTGGATAAAGAGCTGCTGGCTGAGAAAGCTATAAAAGAACAAAAGCTGAAGGTAGAAATGAAAAGAGATGTCTTATGTTTGAACTAATCTTACAACAGAACCACGTGCAGTGGGTGAATTCTTTCAGTATCCTCATGTCTTAACTGATTTATTTCTTAACGTAGAATCTGCACTGTGTACACTCATCTTATAGCTAACTGAAAACCCCTTTGTATACGAGTGTATGTGTGCTTGCCTGCCTGTCCAGGACTTGTCATCTGCCATGAAGGAAGTAGAAGAGCTGACAGCTCAGCTCCGCAAGCAGCAGCAACAGTCTCAGCAGACTGCCCAGGAGCTGGAGCAGCTACGCAAGGTAGCCGCACACAAACACACAAATGCTTCTCAGACACTCGTGTGTCTCAAAGGGCATATCCAGTCAAGCGGCTGAAGTGGTGATGGCCGGCCTGCAGCTACAGTAGCACCTCACAGAGAGACAGAGAGCAATTCTAGCCCACAGTACAGGAGCTGCTGTTACTTTTCCATTAGTGGAGACCTACATAGTACAGCAGTGTACATGAACGCTGCCAGCAGGTCCGACTCTGTCATGTGTCCACATTGTTCGTACAGCCCTGCTATTTGTTTTTTGGCAGAGATACCAGGAGGTTGTTATTAAAGATTAGTAATAAAGACACACTGGAGATATTAAGCTTTATTATTGGATGATTTATAAAATTCACAACAATAAATGCATGATAGTTATTCTTGCATGTTAACACTTCTGGACTTAAGAGTACAAAGATAAAGATCAAATATGCATGTAAAAAGTCAACTCGTTTACAAAGTGATAAAAGATTTCATTATGTGTCTGGAATTATAATTATGTAATCTTTCCAGAATTTCCGGCTTCATCGGCTCAGAATTTTTTGTGAGAAAAAATGTGTCTGCACAGAAAACATTCAACCATCTGTCTACACAGGCCGTGTAACCGCTCATGTTTTATTTACACAATACGTTAGTGAATACGGCCTGAAGCATATTTTGACACTCCAAGTATATTTTCTTTCATTTTACATGCAAAAAAACAAAAGTGGTTGTGTGTTGGACTCTGTTGGACTGCTGCTCGTCTTGGGCACACATGTTGTAAATGCAAGGTTCACACACAAATACCAATGAAGACATCTCTTGAAACATACGTCAAAATGTTGTTTTTCAATCAATCTTTACTATGTAAGAATAGTTTAATATACAAGAATATCTGTCTTAGGTAGAATGGTAACTTTTTTTAAAAAACTTGATTTGATTCTGTACGTTCTAACAGCAGATTAATCGCAGCATGAAATGTTCAATTAAATGTCTGACAGCGACATGATGTAGTGTGTTGACTCTGCCTCTAGGAAGCACAGCAGAGCTCTCTGCTGGACATGGAGATGGCTGACTACGAACGCCTTGTAAAGGAGCTCAACGCCAAGCTCTCCGAGAAAGACGAGTGTGCTGAGGAGCTAAAGACTCAGATAAACACGCTCAGCCAGAAGGAGGAAACCCTTAAAGAGGAAATTGGTATGAAGGACGTTTACACTGACTGACACACAGAATAAAACCTATAGAGTTCCTTTTATGTTGCACTGTGTAGTTACTTGGGATTTGCATCATGATAAAAACATACCTGCTTTAAACACACTGTTGTTGAGACAGTTCATTCACTTTATTTATTATGCATTCATTCTCATTCTACATTATATGGTGCATGACAGATTTTAGGAGCACAAGTCTGCATTCAGGGATCCATTTTTCTTCTATTTTCATTTTTCTTTCATGCGTCCACATGTGCCTGTTCATGTGTGTATGTGTGTGTCTCCAGAGGCTTTGAAGTCCCAGATGGACCAGAGGGAGGAGAAGACCTCTAAGATGAAACAGCTGCTGGTGAAAACCAAAAAGGACCTGGCCGACTCCAAGAAACAGGTCTGGTTATTCGTGTGTGTGTGTACTTATGCAGCTGTCTTTGTTACGACCAGTCTGAGTTTCAGGTCGACCATGTGTGGACGTTTTGGCACCATGTGGAGCTTTTGGATGATCTTCACTTTCCCATGCCCTTTTAAAGGAAAGTTTGAGGGCTGGCAGTTGGTTTTAGGGTTATGCTTCAAGTTAGGAGTCAACCACATAGTACTAGTGGCTGCCTCTTAGGTAGAGGACTAGAGGAATGTATTATGTCAGTGAATGAGATAGCAATACGGATGTGCATGTGTGTGTTTGCGCCTTTGTAGATGTGTATGTGGGCGGGTTTTTATAGGTGTGTCTCAAAGGATTTCCTTCTACTGTGTGTAACGTGCTGCCTGATGAATGTAAATAGTGTTATGCAACCGAGTGCAGACATGACTGTGAGGGAGGCCTTGAAGATGTGGGAATAGTTAATCATCTCTGTGTGTGTGTGTCCTTGCGTAAATGGGTGTATGCATTTAAATTTCCACTCTGTGTGTGTGTGTGTCTGTGTGCATACATGCAGGAAAGCTCCCTCATGATGCTGCAGGCCTCTCTGAAAGGAGAGCTGGAGGCTCACCAGCAGCAGCTAGAGAATTCTAAGGTTGCGCCCCCAACACGACACTCTGCTACCCCCTTTTGATAAAATGTAGAATCTGACAAAGATGCCGGTCACAGGCATGCGCTTACTAACGTGTGTGCTTGTGCATTTAGATTGAGGTGTCTGAGCTGACAGCAGAGCGCCAACGTCTGCAGGAGCAGCTGAGGTCTGCGTTGGAACAGCAACAAAGAACCAGCAGCTCCCTGCAGCAACGCATCCACAGTCTGCAGCAGGAGAGAGACACCGCCAAGGTACAAGGGTTGAAGCATTTCTTTCTTTTTTCTTTTTTTCTGAAAAACCATTTGTTTAGGTTTATTGACAACATACACGCTACCAGCTCCACTAGAAAAGAGGGAGGATGAAGTTTAATTCAGCATCTGCAGGTGGACTCACAGACACAGTCAAATGAATGAGCTCAGTGAAATGAACAAAGAAATGAAGAAGTAGCGATGTTTAATCAACAGTCACAAAGATGAATAGACAAACAAACCCACCCCCACAGTCAAGTTATCAATAAAGGACTTCAAAACACAGATTGAGGAACTGAGGAAATGCTATCCTATGTAAAGAGGAAACACCAGATGAGATAAAATGAAATATAATAAGATAAAATAAGCTAGATAAATAACTAAAGTAGCGTATTATTGAAATAGAGATGAAATCATAAAAGATAGATTTTTTTTTTTTTTAATTTATAAAAACAGAATAAGAAATGACAAAAATTAGGTAAACTGTACATTAAACAGACTAAATAATGTAAATAGTTGAATAAATAGAGAAGTAAATAGATCAAATAAATTCTAGGTAAAGTTATATATAAATAAAATCTATCAAAAGCCTGACTAGAAAGGTAGGTCTTGAGTTTGCTTTTACAAATATCAGCACTCTCTGCTGCCCTCAGGTCCTCTGGACGGCCGTTCCAGAGATGTGGGCTGTAATAGCAAAATTCTGCCACACCGTATGTTATTGTTCTGGCTTTAGGTTTAATTAAAAAGCCACAACCAGAAGACCTGAGGGTTCTGGAGGGTTCATAAGATGAAAGCAAATCGGATAAATACGAAGGACCAACACCATTAGGAACGTTATAAACTAATAAAAGGATCTTCAAATCAATTCTAAAAGACATAGATAAGCAGTACAGAGACTTTAAAACAGGTGTAATGTGAGCTCTCCTTCTGTTCTTAGTGAGAACTGGTGCTGCTGAGTTTTCAAGCAGCTGGAGTGGATGTGCAGTCTTCTTAGGGAGACCACGTAGGAGAGCATCACAGTAGTTAATTCAGCATGCATTAGTGTCTCTGCATTAGTCCTGAAGTGTGACACAAGTTACAGGTTAATGAGCATCTTTATTTATATTTTTTAAACGCACGAGCAGAAATAGTAGCTTCTGACTTTGATGAAATTAGTTGAAGGCTGCGGCAGCTCATGCTTAAAGAGACCATTGTTATATAGACCGCTGCTAATTACTGTTTTCATTATTAATCTCTCAATTATGTTTGATTAATCATTAAATCTAACAATGTCAAAAATATTTGATGAATGCCCGAAGGTGACAAGTTGTAATGGCCTGTTTTGTATGACTAACAGTCCAAAATCCTAAATTACTTATTATCAACTAATATGGAACAAAATCTAGGCGATGTTTGTGAGCGACGTTCATTCGATTATCACAAGAGGTTTTAGTGATTTTCTGTGTGACGGCTGATCAGTACATGATGTGACTGGCATTATTCCCTACAAAGTGAGGAGTTAAATAAACTAATATTTTAAGAGCTGCAGCACATACGATTGTGAAAGTACAAATTAATGAAAGGGAATTGCAGAAAGTTCAACTAAGCACCAATAATCAGACACTTTATAATCACAAATTTCTGAAAGAATAATTTAGAAAATGCATTACAAGTCATCACCAGCTGGTACATCGCTGTTCTTACTAACAGTCCAGGGAGAGGTACATACTGTAGGTCTGATGATTTAAATAGAAGAAAGAGGATGGTTTTTTATTGGGTTGAGGATTAAACTGCGACTTAAAATGTCATCAGTGGAAAAAATGGAAACAGGTAAACATCCTAACAGAACATACAGAGTTAATGTCGAGTTTTATCTCAGCTGTGGCATCAAAATGTCATCCCCCTGAATTTGTAAAGTCATGAGATACAACACTAGTTTTCTGTATTGGCTGCCCATCAAAAATCACTACAACAGCTTTACTCACCAATTTGTCAGAATATCTCCAGCAAACGTGCGCCCTGCTGTTTCCTGTATATCTCACCCTGATGTGTGCTTTGATTCCAGGATGAGCTCGTGGCCACAACAGGCGAGTTCGAGAGTTACAAGGTGCGAGTCCACAATGTGCTCAAACAGCAGAAGAGCAAAACCACCACCCAAAGTGAGGGAGACGCTGGTAAACTAGAGAGGTAAGGACAACAGGTGGATGAAAGAACTCTGCAAAGAAAGCTGCAATTTAAAAACCTGACTGTGCTTTACATCCAGGTAAATGTGTGTAAACTACAGCGGACAGTGATGCACCTGTTGAGTTAAACTTTACCACTAACTCAGAAAGTGAAGCTCAGACTCTTCACCTTAATTTCACAGCAGAGGAATTCTAATCCTGTCGGTGTCCTGCTGCACCGTTGGGAGAACTCTGTATAATTAGGGTTGATGCTCCGTCTCTCATCGCCCTGTGTGACACCCTCAAACACCTTTAAGGCTGCACGAACACATTTGTAGTCCAAATGAGGTGTAAAAAACTCAAAACCAGGCAACTCCCTAATTCAAGTTTGTCTTTCTTTTGTACAGATATGGTCACGAGCATTTAAAACCTATACCAAAAGGTCTGCTTTCCTGCATTATGTAACTAAAATGAACACATAATTAAGAACTATCTGTGTAACACAAATACAGGCCATTTGCAATTATTAAATTTACTTGGCTCCCCACTGACAAAATGCATCTACAGACAATAAAGTATCAGAAATGTGGCATTAGAAGTCATCTACATTTTAAGGAAATCGATTCAGTGACCATTAATTAGTATGTGAGACGCTTAAAAACGAGGCTTCAAGTGTAACATGATTGTGTTTTTTGTGCGGTGCGTCTTGCAGGGAGCAGCTGTCCTCTCAGGTAGAGCAGCTGAGGACCAGGCTGGCAGAGAGCCAGCAGAGTCTTCAGAGCAGCACCGCAGAGCTGCAGCAGCTCCAGACCGAACACGACACCCTGCTGGAGAGACACAACAAAATCCTCCAGGAAACCGTCAGCAAAGAGGCTGAGCTCCGTGAGAGGTGAATTCACTTGGCTTTAGATTTTTATTTTATTTTTATTTTTTTCCCCACTCCCTGTTTGCCTTTTCAACGTTTCCTCCTCTGCGAATTTGCAATCATGAGACATAGGGACACATGCTGGGAACACCTGATTGGACTTGACTCTCTTCTTTTCCTTTACTTTCATATGCTATGCTGCTTCTCTCCTAAATAAACAACCTGTAATCTCTTCCTCTCTCTATCTGTCTCCCCCCCTCCAGGCTTTTGTCATTGCAGTCAGACAACGTGGCCTTGCGGTCGGACCTGTCCCAGGCTCAGGCCGACTTGTCCTCCCAAGTGGAGACCCAGCGTCAGACCTACAGGGAGCAGCTGAGGAAGCTGCAGGATGACCACCGGGCCACGGTGGAGACCCTGCAGGGCCAGCTGACCCGGGTTGAGGAGCAGCTCTTCAACCTGCAGAGCCAGAACAGTAAGCATCAGGAGGAATTATAACCTATTTAGATTTAACAGGCCATAACTACCCGATTCTCTTCATGAAACAGCACTATGAACAGATGGGTAGCAAGTGTTTCTATTAGTCAGCAGCAAAATGATCCAAAAAAAAAATCTCTGCTGCTGAAGTCGAGGGCAGTAATCTCAAGGTTTAAATGAACGGTAGGTTATAAAGAAATCCACCAAAGCATCAAGTGGTTGACCGTGTTGAAGTTTTCTATCTTGTTTACTTCTCCCTTCCATGAGAGGACTGATGGGAGACGGAGAGGGAACAGCAGAGGGGGGCATCAGTGTGTTTATCAGTAGAGCAGCACCGAGAGCTCATTCATCACCTCCCACACAGCTGCCCTCTGGAGTCAAACAGCAAACTCACATATAGTAATGACTAGGAACGGCAAGTGTGTGTGCGTGTCTACGCTCTGTCACTTCAGCCTGGCCAGGTGTTGGCAAGGTTCCCCGGCTCTGTTCCCGCCTCTCAGTGTGGCAAGCAGCTCACTGTGGCATCTGGAGAGACTCATCATTAGCCGCTCGCACATGGGCGCCAGGATGAACTCGATACATGCGGCCAATACTAGCCTTCGTTGGAAGTCATATCTGAGCCGTTTTTAACGGTACGTTTGGATTTAATGGCAGCTAAAATGCAGAAGGCTTCAGCAGCAGTGTGTTTTACTGGCCCTGTTGGGCAGGTGGGTCATAAAACTACTGGCCTTTGAACAAATTTCACTGGCCTCATATTTTTTTTTTATAAATCAGCTGCAACTAACAATAAAATTGATCTTTGTTCAGTGTCTTGTTAGGCGTAAATTTTCCTTTAATCTTAATATTTAAGCAGTACATAAACACAAACAGGAAACAGTATTTTCTAACTTTAAAACCAGTGGAAGCTGCAGCTTTGTCAGCTGCTCTCTCTCTTGTTGTGGCTTTAGACACTGTGCTTTCTGTTTTATATAATGTCCAGGATTCTGTTTTTTTAATATAAATTACTGTTCTTAATTCCCACCTTGAGAGCTTGATGTGTCTTGAATCTGTACTCCTGAGTATTTAGTCCTGAACAGTGTGGCCTCCCTTTATAAGCTCTCCTGTAACGTTTAATGTTCTGTGAGGAGGTAGTGTTTTTAAACTTCACACGAGATAAATATGTTTTTGTTGGGAGGTCTGTCACCACTGATCCGATTGGCACAAAATGCTCTCCTGGTCCACAGCCATCATTAAACTTGTTAAACCTTAATCCTGATCAAATTACAAAAATGTATATAATTATAATGCATTCACACACAAAAAAGTCGTAGCAATCCTTGTGCTTTTCACTCATAAGAGGGAGCAGAGGGCCAGACTGGAGGCGAGGAGACGAGGGGTTTGGTTCGGAGTTTGGTCTCTGAGTTCAGTTTCAGGTTCATTAATCGCAATCCTTTCTTTTGTCCACCCACTTTCTCAAGCACCTCATCCTTCCCTCTCGCCCTTCTCTTCACATTTCGTTGTCACTGTTAATGCTAGCTGAACTGGTTTGGACCTGAGGTTGTCTGGTGCCCCCTCATGTCACAAAGAAGTAGGACAACCCTTCACAGTCAGCAGCAACTCAAGGGCTGTGTGTGCTTTGTGAATATTAACAATCCAGAGGTGCTTTTCAGGAAAAATGCTTCTCTTGGCTAAAATTATTTTATTGCTTTTATTTATTTAGCTTTTGCTCCTTTGTTGGGGGAATTACAGGAAGCCTGAGGCCTGGCAGCAGCAATGATGTGGCTTCTCTGGGTGATCATAAAAGCTTTTCACTAAAAATTCTTGTTCTTCTTGTTTTGAAATGTAATATATTCTGTATTTTTTACCCAGTTTGAAAGCTCCTTAGTTCATGTAACACATTCTTAAAAGAAGGAAGTTTAATTCTGGAAAGCTGCTGCTTTTCAAGATGCATATAACGCTGTGCTTCTCACAACTCATATTACACCCATCCAGGTTCGGTGGCGGTCCAGTCCAGCCGTAAGCCCCTCGCATCAGACCCCCAGCGCAGAAACACAGACCAGAACCCGGTCGGTTTGGGACTTGTGGCCCTCAGCGATCTCCAGTCGATGGCCAGGGAGGAGGGTGAAGGCATGGAGACCACTGAGACCGAGAGCTCCTCCCCTGCTCTCACACCCCTCCCCTCTCTGGAGCAGCTCCTCACATCCCCAGACCCCAAACAAGGTGTGTTTGAAAGCAGAGCTGCACTCATAAACATGGAGTTGATTTAAGTTAAATCCATTCCTTTACCCAAATCTTGCCTGATTCATTCTTTTGACCCAACTTTATTTGTGTCGAAGGAATGGATGTCCACTTAGGGAGAGGTAAAAACTCAACTTCACTGTGTACTGGTTATATTTGCTGCATCAGGATGGAACAGTCTTCACTACATTCAAAACTACTAAAAACGACGATATAAAGTTGTAATGTTGTTTGACTGGGTTTACATCTGTGATTAAATTATTATCAATACCAAAACACATTGATTATATGAGGCTCAAACCTTTTATCTTTTGTGTCTTTGGCCTCCAGAGCCGTTTGTTTGGACAGTGGAGCCAACCAAAGAAGAGCTGAGTGAAAAGCTGAGCACAGCCACCCGCAGCATGGAGCACATGAACAGCCTGCTGCATGAAACTGAGGCCACCAACGCTGTTCTCATGGAGCAAATCACCGTATGTATATATCCACACACAAACACAAAACACAATGGTATCGTGTTGACTTTAACGGCAAATTAATTCAGAATGCTGTTTCCTTTATTACAAAAACAAGTGTTTTACCTTGTTATCATATGATGTGGTTTGGGTTTGTCAGGGTTGATGCTTGTTATCGGTAACCAAGAAAGACTGATAACTGATATTTGGAACCGATACACATTAGATGCTGTATTTTAATAGCATGTGATAGCAGGGGACCTGTCATTATTCAATAATAAGCATTACTGTAGCTGCATATGAACACATTTGAACCACAGGATGTTAGGACGCTTTCCTCTGTTTACTGTGAGATCGACTTGAGATCTATTCTGAGTGTTTTTTTTATATGCTGCGTATCATGAGTGAAATAAGCAGTCAAAAGCCACGCCAACACGGATCCGTTGTTTCATACGTAATCTAAGGAATCAATCCTGTCATCTTGCAAGGTGAGGCGTTCCATATCGCCACTCTTCTTCGGACATAAATAGCTGAATTGCTCCACGGTAGTTTTACAGTGTTTGAGCAGAGTCATAGCTGCTCCAGCTGCAGTGAGTGGAGATTGGCAGGCACTATGTAGATCTGCACATTCTAGAGAAAGCAAAGATGTAGAGTTAAAGCTAAGCCGTTTTAATACAGGGGAGAAGAAATAAATGTGTTGGTTGGAGTTTAATAAACAACCGCAGAGAGACTCTGAAATGTGTTGCATAGATGCATTAAAGATGAGAGTATTCCAGTTTTACAGATTTCATATTCTATATTTAATACCAACCTCAAGCAGCACTTTTCGATATCAAAGATTTTATTTAATTTAAACTGACATGATCAAAAATACACTGATATAGTGTTTTGGCAGCCGTGTGCGAGTCTGTTTAGTGTCCAGGACAGCTTAAACTGGCCGGTATGCACCCACAGTGACGTCAAACAGCCGGGCGTTGTTCACAGTCCCCTCTTTGTCCAGCAGAAAGTAGAACTTGTGTCCTTTGACTTTGAGGGGGATGAATGAGGGGGACTCGTGTCTGTGGGCGTGACAGGCCACCTGGGACAGCGGGACAGTTATTCTCCGGCCCTGCTCTGCCCCCAAAGGCGACTGTGTGCAGACGGTCACCATCTTCCCACCTTGATGCAGAACCACCCTGCTGACAGAGCGCGTGCAGAACAGAGCCCCGAGCCCGACTATCCCCACTCCCACCGCCAGGCATCCCAGCGTGAAGCCGTACCTCCAGGTGCTGGAGCCCAGGTTCATCTCAAAGCTCCACATCCCGGCCAGCCCGATGGTGGTGGTGCTGGCCGCCTTGGCTTTGCCCTTCTCTGCTGTGTCTCTGAGGCCGGTGTAGGCGAAGTGAGCCAGGTACGTCCAGAAGATGCACTGGCCGCCGCAGAACACCGCCAGCAGCCGGAAGAAGCGGGTCCTGTCGTGCTCGAACAAGGTGACATCTCTGGAGGGTTGGGCGGAGCTGCAGAAGCTGCGACGGGCGGCCGGCTGGCGGACAAATAACCCGCTGAGCAATCCTGGAACAGAGACCCCGGTGCTGCTGCTGCTGCTCGGTGAAGTGGACGCATTTCGAAAGACTGTCTGCCGAATGTTACCGAGTAGGAAGCGTCCGGAGGAGCACCGCAGCGCCCCGCACAGCAGCCGCTCAAACCCCATCTTTCACTTCAGTCAGCGGCTCGAACCTCCACGAAACTACCTGACAGAAAACTACAACAGTCCAGGTTTAAAAACCGCTCCTTTAACTTGAGTTTTAACCCTTCTTATCCAACACACGACGCTCCAGCAGCTCAGAGGGCGCCGCCATACTTGTTATGTGTGACGTAAGGAGTTGAGTTACGGAAAGTAGCGAAGACCAAAATTAGACTTCGCCAAAGCGCTTCCTCAAAGGGAATCATTTTTGGAATTTATTTCTATAATAATAATAACAGTAATAAATAAGGCCTTACTATGTGAATACTGTTGTGAAATGTCCCTTTGTATATTAAACTTAATTTAAGTTAATTTAAATAAAAAAGGATTTTGAACCAAAGGTTGTAAAACCAGCAAAACCAAACTGTTTATAGGTTAGAAGCGATAATGATTACGCTTCTAGAAGAACAATAAATTATAGAAAATTGGTGTGTCTATCCTCAGAAAAATTCTATTTTTAATCTAAGAATAAAAAAATTAAATACTGTTTCAGGCGACATACTCACAAAAACAAACACCAAGCAGGCATGGTCCATCTTTATTTTTAATTTTTAATTTTTTGGGGGTAATGACAGCATTCGATGAACTGACATCATCAACGCTTGGTGTTTTGAGGTTTCATGTTGCTGGTATGTTCTACCCACCAGCTGCTGAAGAGTGAAGTGCGTCGCCTCGAGAGAAACCAGGAGAGGGAGAAAAGTGTGGCCAATCTGGAGTACCTGAAGAACGTCCTGCTGCAGTTCATCTTCCTGCGATCGGGCAGCGAGAGGCAGGCGCTGCTGCCCGTCATTCACACCATGCTGCAGCTCAGTCCGGAGGAGAAAAGCAAACTGGCTGCCATTGCACAAGGTATGTAATAGCAGCAACTGGTTCGTGCATCACTGCAGTTTACCCACACGTGCTACAAAAGGCTAATAAGGTTCACTGCTTCTACATTTAAGTGTTTGAATCTACACATGAATACATTTAATTCACGTAAATGACCACACAGCCTGGCCACTCCTATAGTTTGTACTCTCACAATACAGCAACACACATGCACAGCATCCAAGTGACCCAAACATTCAGAGGACAAAACACTTCCACAGCATTTGTGATTCCTAACCAAGTGTTCTTGGCGTCCTTTTGTGCAGGTGAGGAAGAAGGGGCCGGGGCTCGGGGCTCAGGCTGGACCTCCTACCTCCACAGCTGGTCTGGGATCAGATAGACGTGATGACCAAGCTGATCAACAAAGACACTGGGAGCACAGCGCAGCGGCGACATTACTGGGCCTTTTTTCTGTGAAATCCTGTTCTAAACGGTGACGATGCACATTTAAAGCGGGGGCGACTGACGGGGTAACCGGGACACTTTGGGGACGCAGTAGACGGGACCAAGGAATGTATCAGAGAAGAACGAGTGTGTGGTAGAGATGAGGGAAACCAAAACATTCGACGTGTGTGTTGATTTGATTTTGCAGTGCAATAGATGCGTTAGTCTCTTACCGATGAATGTGACAAGTTTCTGTTTTCCGTAAGCTTACTGTTGACATGTATTTATATTGACATTTACTGGACGGCTGCTCTTATTAAGGCATTATAAAGCACCATTAATCCACAGGATGGGCACAAATTGTGAGTGGAGGAATTAATCAAAGGATAAATGTGTACTGGCATTATACTACTTGAATATTAGATGTTTAATTACTTTGCAGGAGGATTTTTCTTGGACTTCTGTTGGGCCTGTAGCACACTCCTTGATTCTAGTGTTTTTGGTACAAATCACATCTTTCCATCTTTTTTCAAAGGAATGCTTCAGTACGTGGACCGCTCAATGTGATTTTACCACCTTAAAGGCAGCAGGACACAGAGCTAGAGATTAAAAAACGTTTAAATGTCTTTGCAGCAGTAATGTTAAAGTTTAGCTGATGGACTGAAACAGGCTAAAGCACCGGTCCGGTCCACGTAAGCCTTTCTGGAGGGTTCCACAGACCAACACTGATCACATTAATGTATTTATGTGTTTTCTGACTGAAGGTTTTACTGATACCTCACACTCTTAAATCAAAAGTAGCATCAGTTTTCCTTCACGGAGCCATCATGGCTCGTAGCGGCGGGTGGTTTGTGACTCTGCTCTGGCTCTGTCTGTGTCGTTACTGTAATATCCTGTTTTTATTTTAATGATGTCTATTTTGGGAGTTGTTTTTGTTGGTTGTTGTGCTGCAGTTTAATCACGGAGCGATTTGTCGTGACTCCATCTGCAGGAAGCACATCTGCCCTGCTCAAGTGTCCCTGAGCAAGACTTCCTATCGTGGATTTTATTTATCCGACCGTAACCTCTGACCTTCCTGTGGAGGCGGAGAAAAGACAGTTCCTCCCCTTCTCCCTCTAAAACACATATTTACTTCCATTACATTAATACATTTTGTTCTTGACTCAAGATAGTCGGCCAGTTAATTTTATCATTCCAGTGGCAGCTTTTTGTGATTTATTCCACACAAGTGAATGTATTTTTATCCCCCTGCTTTTATATTTATGACAGCTAACGCCAGCTGAAGCTACAAGAGATTACCATCACGATAAAATATTACCTGCTAGATTTAAGTCATGTTTGTCGGTTAATCTTTTTCCTGATTTATTTCCAACTTTAAGCAAAAAAATTCCCCTTACATTGCGTTCAGTCCTGCTTATTATCTAATTCTGTTGCATTTTGATGTGAAACTTTCAATAATCAGCTTCACTGGAGAAACAGAAATGTGCTGCAGCTGTTTGGTTATACAGGTTAAATACACTTTTATCGTGACAAAGTGAACACACAAGTACAATAAAGAGGGATTACAAGATCAAGCCCAGTGAAGCGTTAATGTTTCCTGTTTCCAGACTGGTTCAGCTTTTTTTTTTTTGTTGCTGGATATTTGAACAGATGCATCACTGGTCTCCTTCCCTTGTTGCTATGAAAGTCTCCATGGCTGCTGAAGGAGGGGAGAGGGGTTTGGGGGCTTTCCTTTTAAGGAAGTAAATGTGCTTCTAGTATCATGACGCAGAGTCTGGGGAGGAAATATCAGCTACTGTATCTGTCACTGGACCTGAAGGTAAACATGCTATTATCCTCCTGGAGCAGCACTGTCATTACCCTCCTGCTGTCATCTGATGCCTTCTGTAACTCCTGCTTTCATCCTGTCATTATTCAGTTTCTTGCAGAGTGTAAGTAGCAGTAGATGAACTCTGTTGTCCATCAGGTGTGTCTGTAACAAGCCTCTGGATGAATAAAAAGGAAAACAAATCATCTCACTATTCAGAGTGTTGCTCTGACGCCCACCCGCCATGTTGAACTTCTGTACAGTTTTTCCACTGGTCAGAAAATGTTCAAAGTCAGATTTTCCAGATGTCCCGAGCTCGTGCTTCCTCTGTGGATCACTTCAAGTCTACAGAGGATCGTGCACGAGCATCAGTCCATTAACGCGCGCGTCCGACGTGTTGATTAAAACAGCAGATCTCGCAGAGTCCTCGCAGGGCGGGTCTCGCTGTTTCCTGCCAGTAGAACCTAAAAAACTACTAATTCGCTGGAAGACTGAGTGAGAAGCTGCCGCTGACTCACAGGAGAACACTCCCTGGATCCCCCGGTTTTCAAAATAAAAGCACGGATTGGTGAGAGTGCAGCATCTGTCTGGGTTTGAGTCTGATGTCTGGACTGCAGCAGCCTCCTGTGTGGTCTGGACATGTAGGTTTTGGAGCCCATGATAGGATTTAATCCCCTTATTTTCTCTTAAGAAACAACAGAGGCATTAAGCTGTAATTGTAGAGCAGAACATTTATATTCTGTTTTGATTTTCAGATAAGGTTTAACAGTCATTACTTAAATGTGTAGCAAATAAAACACTAAATGAAAGAAAATAAATTATTTAAAGTGGTAAAGGCGCCGACTGTCGCTTACAAAAACAACTAATTCCTTTGTGTGTGTCCTGGAAGTCTCTCAGACATTAAACCTGCATATAAAAGTTTAAAGGTTTGCAACAGGTCCTTCTCGTGGCAGGTTTTAACTAGAAAAGCATCAAAACCAGTGGATGTGTTCATTTATTTAAGCAGCTAAATAGAATTCACAGTGTGAAAGAATCTGAATATCAAGAAGTGGAATTAAAATGTGAAAACAACATGTACAGGGTTGAATTTTCATCAATGTCAAGATTTTACATTTAATTTCAAAGTTACTGGAAGTCAGTTTCAATAAATTTAAATTACATTTTTCATTACAAATATTCAAGTTGAGCTATTTAAATTTAAATGATGGAAATTCAGATTTCAGCCATAATTGATTCCAGTTTCTACACGTGTGTATTAATGCTGTGATCTGTCAGCATGTAGATAGAATTACACACCGCTTAATGAATCATCAGACAGAACTGTAAAACAAGTAGTTTGTCTTTAAACTGTGTCCTAAACATCTCTGTGCCAATAACACGTTTACAAATAGTTATGCTGCATATGTTTTTATTTATTTGTTTGTTTATTTATTTATTTGTTTGTTTGTGAAACAATCCATTGAAGTGGATTTACAGAACCTGTGCAGATGTGTGTGTGAGGTGTAAATGTCTGTTTATATACATTTATTCCACCAATAGCAATAATTAGCTTAAGTTTAAAAAGAAATAAAAAAGTTGGCAAGTAAACGACCACACATTTAGTCAGCAAATTCCATGATTCAAATCCAATGATTCATCCATTTTGCACATTTAAAATATGAATAGTTTAGACTTTAGATCAACTTTATTGATCCACAAGGGGAAGTGTTTGAACACAGGAGCAACACAAAATAAACACAAAAAATAAAAACAAAAATGTAAATAAAGCAAGCAGGAGAAAAAAAAGGACACAGTACAAAGATTTCCATATGTACAATTTACAATTTAACAATTGTTTATTTTTATGTATCTATTAAAGAAATAATAATAATAATAATAATAATAATAATAATAATAATAATAATGAATAAAATACATTCTAGTTTTTTCTTGCATTGGTCTTTCCCTGTTTTTCTTTCTTCTTTTTTTAAAATTATTTTTTATGATATATTCCCTATATGTTGAGCCTGGACGTGGTTTTCCTGTGAAAGTCCTTCTCAGAAGTGGCGCACTCTGTGCAGCGCGGCGGGTTTACAGAGGCGAGGCCGTCTGCGCCATTCTGAGAGCAGAGCTCCGCTGGCTGGCGCTGCGTCCCGGACCTCCACATCTGGACATCAGCGGCAGGAGGTCAGAAAACAGCCGCCCGCTCCGGCAGACGGCAGGATGATGCTCGGACTCACGGAGATGACCAATGGGTGAGTGAGAACTTCCAACGTGTTTCCCGAAAACACGCACATTTCCCCGAAAAGTTGGGAAGTTGACAGTTAGTCGCTGGAGGAAAAGAAAAAAAAAAAAGTGGCAGCCCAGCTCTGGAGTGAGTTTGTCTGGAGAGAAGAAAAAACATTTAAAAACCACTCTGAGCTTTTATTCAGACAGAGAACTTATGTGAATCGGGGAAATGTTGACAGTTGAAGTTTATTATCTACAAGGACAATTAATGTCTGTGTTTAGCTCCAATCTGAGCTCGGTCAGTTCAGGCAGCGCCCCCCAGTGGAGGAATGAGGGAAGCTGCAGTTTAAATGTAAAAAAAGAGTCATCTTTTAGCTCTTTATGGGATGTCTGCTGAGGTAAACATATTAAACTGTGTATGTATACATGTGTAGATATACTTAAAGTATACATACTTCTCTAACACTTATTTTTATTGTATTTTTTATTTTTATTTTATTGAAGCTGGAGGCTGGTACAAAACACATTTCACTGCACATTGTACCGTCTGTAAATGTGTCAATAAAGCTTATCTTGATCTAGAATCAAGTAAATTAAAATGACAGATTGGGTTCCAAAGCGTCTTTAAAGTGAGTTTATTAGTTTTATTTTATTGCATTTGTTGTTATTCGGGCTTTTGAAACATCCACATGACTAACGGTATGAGCAGCAGGGCGTGAAATAGTCTCATCCTACTTATTATTATTGCAACAAACCTAATTAGGAGAACTGAAAGTCAGATATGTGTCCGCTTCACACCTTCTTCAGCTCCGTCAGGTTCAAGTTTCCAGCAGCACTGAGTGTAAACCAGATTCCTCTCACCTGAGGACGGAGGGCGTCTTGTTTACATGGCGTTGCACAAATCAGGCTGTTTACAGAGACACGCATCGATAAGGTTCTAAATCCCCCGAGGAGGTCGTGATGTAATGGTGTCAGCCTGCGGTCACACATTTGGACCGTGGTGGCAGATTGACAGACGTTATATAAAAGCAGCGAGGATGTTCCTCTCCTCTGCAGCTCGACCTCCTCCCTGCCCAGGAATGTCCACATAAAGTCACTGGACAGTAGTTACTGCTTTCCAAACCACTTCCTGACCATCTATTCTCAGAGGACTACTGTTCAGAGCTGCCTTTTCTTTTTTTTTTCTTTTTTCCACCAGTGTGAATGCTCTGCTGGGTGCACTGCAGCATTCATTATGACCTGGGATGAATCTGGCTCTTATGAAGCACGCTGGACACTGAGCGCCTTCCAGGAGGCTTGGTGCATTCCCAGTGCATTACATTTTTATCTGATCCCACACTGTGTTGATACAACCAGAGCTTAGAAGAATGTCTGCGTCTCCAGTGTGGACTTGTCCTTGTTTGGAAGCAGTGAACTCGTGTGATGTAGGATTTAGCTGTGGGTGTAGAGCTGGATGCATGCGGTGTGAAGCAATGTGATTGCGACTCACACGTATTGCAGTTCATTTATTCTGCGTCGCATGGCTGCCTTTTGACATGTGGGATAAAAGCATTGCTCTGGAAGCACAACTCCTACAATATCTCTGTTTTTAATAATAATTCACAGTCTAAAGAATCTCCATCCTCCATTACAGCACATTACAGACCTTTTTTTTTAACAGCAAATGAACATAAAGCAGAAAACAACACAGTGACTGTTAGAATGACAGCTTTTGCTAATGAAAGCCACATTATGGATGAGGAGCACATGTCTGATGTGAGACTTCAGAAGTTCAAACTATCCAGCATTAAATTAAGAAATGTGTTGCTCTTGTCAGTCTTATTTATGCCAGATTATTAGATAAATTAGACCATTTATAGTCAATACTGTGCCAAAACCAAGAGCTACATGTATTTTTAGCAATATGTTGTTTAATAAGATGGCATCGTAACGCTGCTTCAAGATCCTCAACAACAAACCTCGATGGCAGTAAACCTGCATTAATGACTAATTATGTGCACATTGTGTTTTCCTCCTCGTCCCACACTGCTGTGAAATTTGAAGTTTAGTTTACATCTGATGGGGTTAGGCCTCAGTTTTTGAAATCACAACTAACTTCCCATTGTTGTTAGAGCACTGACATGCACCTTTCCCTTCAGCTGATGTAAAATCTACGCCTCACGTCTCTGTTTCTGGGTGGAAGCTGCATTGATGATACAGAAAGTAGGCCAGTAGGCCTGAGCATGTCTTTGGACTGTGGGGGGAAGCCAGAGCACCCGGTCAGAACCTCAATCAAGCCTGATGTTTGTGTCATTAGTCTGTAAAACTTTTCCAACTCTATTGGTT